CTCTACGAGATTTAGGATAACATAATAATATAACAGTTAGCCATGCTCTTAATTACGAGTAGATTGACTCTGTAAAAAAATATTAAAATAACTAATTATTGAAATTTAATTTTAAATTAATTATTCATATATGTAATATTAAATTCAGCGATGTAAATAATCTTTATTTAACTTATTCTTATTTAAATTATAATTCTGTGTACATTTATTTTTATATAAGTAATGTAAATTTGTTGATCTCCTACAGCAGCATTCCAAAATATAAGTAAGTAGTGATGTAAGACATCTCTATTATTGATTAGATATTTCATTATAGGTAAATTTTATGTAGTCTATAGGAAAAGAAATTTAAAATATGTGTTTCCAGGAAGTAAATCTTAATTTTAATAATCGAGCTTGTATAATTACGATTATAAACCACTTTATATATTTCAGATAATTGTTAACTTTACTATAACACTTTTAAAAAAAGAATTGCAAGATATTTGTTGTAATATAATTATAAATAGTAGTAGTAATGTGTTTTGCACGAACATTTCTTTTACAGGTAAGAGTAATAATTTTACCAACAGTCACCTTCTTTATATCTTCGGTCATTTAAATTATTTTAAAACGTGTGCAGTATCAGGTTTGACTTTTTAAATAATACATATTTTCATTTTTTATAATCTTTAAAGTCGGTTATAAATTTTCATATGTATCAATTATATTCACCAATATCCATCAAATATGTCAAAAGATTTCATATCTGAAGATTTACATGAGGTTGTAGCAAGGTTATATATTTTTAAGTTTCTTGGATTGCAGGATTATAAAAAGTTATATCAGTTTTGTATAGGTTTACAATTCGATCGGCGAAAGGGTTGTCACAATCGATCGAATGCATGGGCATATTTTTAGATCCCAACTCGCTGTCTCATAAAATTTTCAGTGCAACGGCATCTACGTAGGAGCGACCAGGTCGACCCCCAAGTAGGCCATCTAATTTTATTTTCTAAAGAATCTCTATGTTAAATCGAAGCTTTCTATAAAAAAGTGCACTAAAATCATTAAGCTTTTGCGAACAGAGAACAGAACTTTTTTATGTTATATTTATCAGTAGATCATATGTAGATATATATTTTAGATTGTAGACGGTTCTAGTCCCATCTTAGTCAGTACCATATGTAAGTTAACAGTGTAAAATATCATTACATTGTTTCTGTGATTATGTATAATAAAATTTTCTAGTCCCCATTTTAGTCAATACCATAAGCTAGTCAATAAAAAAGATAAATATTATTTTTAACTAAAATTTGCAATCTTAATGCTACATGTTATATTTAATAGAAAATTATTTGAATAATTCAAATCATCTCAGATAATTTCTAATCTAGTCTTTTGAAAACAGTTTTTATATCTAGTCATATAACATTTTTACTCTCGTAAACGTGATCTCTTCAAATATTCTAGTCAATATTTTTATAGCTTAAATGCTCATATTTATTTATACGTTTAATTCTAGTCAAATTTAGTCATTTTTTGTTAGCTTTAAGTATATTATTATTTAGTTAATTTCATTTGTTTCTTCTAGTCAAGGTTGTTGTGGTTCAGCAATGTAAACATTAGTCAGTTTACATCTATATCTAGTCTTTAATATAATTGAGTACAATTTAAATTATATTCAATAAAAAAGATACAAAGTTTTGAGAAACATTTTTTTATTATATGACAGATTCGGATTGCATGATCTTGTGACAACTGATCGTCATCGAAATTATTTTAAACTTCGCCTGTGTAAATTCTACGATGCGTTACCCGCGTATTATGTAGCTTCCCGTGCGTGAAAGATTTTTTAAATTCTGTCTAGGGTTTTCGGAGTAAATTCAATGCAAACAAACAATAAAACTTTCCTCTTGTGTTAGGCCAGAGTAAGTAGTTTACGTACCAAATATCACCCAAATTAATCCAGTGGTTCCAGAAACAAACAAACATACTTTCATTTTTTTTTTACATTTTTTACACATATTAATCAAATCTATTTTTTTTAAATCAAAGCTTGTTACTGCACATTATATGATACATAGAATTAATAATTTGTACATTCCTAATTATTTTCATAAATTATCTAAATTTTAACTATATAATATAGAATTATTGTTAAGAAAAATGTTGAAGTAATATTAAATAATATAAAAGAGATATTATAATATAAAATATTATATAAGAAAAAATCTCTATCGAGTGGAATCTAGTCAGTGTGTTCTTTGTAACGCGTTCCAAAGATGTAAATAAGTTAACGCTATTTAATATTATTATCAAATTAATTATGATTATGTAAATATGAAATTAAGTAATATAAAAACGATCTTAATGACCTAGAACTAATCTCTGTTCCGAATTCTTTAAAGGAATGAAAGAAAGCATTAAACGCTTCTTTTTAGTTTAAGCTTTTTCTTTTTTATCTTTTATATCAAAATATTAATGCATGATTTATTTTAATTTTTCTAAACTTTATTGCTATTGTTACAAACACTATTTACGATATTGCGTGGAATTATTTTTTAAAATATGTACTTTTTTCTAATTATATTTTCTTCTTATTTAATTTGTATTTACTAGTAATTAAAATAGGTTGATTATTTAATTTGATTTAATATTCTTTTAATAACATATAGTTCTTCACACAATTTGTAAAATAGATATGTTACTAAAGTAAAATATCTGTAGCTTGTAAAGTTATGCATGAAATACATATGTTTAACTGTTAGACTAGTTGAAGTAGTTATGTTAGCGACAAATTAATTTCTTTGTACTGTCAACAACAAATCAAGTTATATAAAACTGACAAATTTCTCCAATCGATTATAAACCTTAAACGTTGAAAGTGTAGTTGAAAGTTGATCTCAGAAATTTGAAATATTTTAATAACCTGATATGTTGTTCTGTGCACCGATTAAGTATAACATTGTTTTTAAGAATTATTTAATGTTTGTTTAATTTCACGTGTAAAGAATAGGCAATGTGTAGTTATATGTATGTAGATATTTATTAAAATCTTCAATATTGATTAAATACCTATTACTGTGTTTTATTGTTTGTAATGATTCGATCTGACACGTTATCTGATAAAAAACGCTTTTTAATATTTACTGGACTTTTTCTGAACTGGTTTAATGTGAAAGTTATTTTAATGAAAACCTTAATTTTACTATTACTATTCAGGTTTCAACCTCTTCCGCTATTCAGCTTCTAAACACTTTACTGAATTTCTTTTCGTAGCCATCTACATTTTTCATCGAGTATGCGTTTTTCTCTTGTTATCTTCTTCTTTTTGTTTAGAATACCGCACTATTTGCAAATAAATTCATTGTAAGTACATACTATACTACATTAAAGTTAAATGACTTCTTTGTAAGAGTGAAAATAAAATATATAATATATGGTATAGGTGAAAAAAATATTACAGAAAAGGCACTTTTTAGTGCGTAATACATATACTTAATATTATAGGTGGATATATATAATATTCTACTGAAAAGACACTACGTAGGTGTAGTATAATTTCTTTAGTAAGAGTTCGTTCTATAACATTATTCAAATTCTATAGAAACATGAAGTATTGCGTTAGCTTTACACAAAAGCAATAAAAATATTGCCAAGGTAAATTCTTGTAGGAAAATTCAGTTCATACTTTAATAAAATCCATTTTAAAAGTACCAATAAGAAGTATTATTTTCCTATTCACGCTATTTTGTTACTGTTTTTTTTTTCTAATTATTATACCTAATTTGTCAAATAAGTTCAGTTTCAATTTCAAGAAACGCGTCTTTTTAAAGGCAAACAATATTAATACCTAAACAACGCCATCTGTAAGGTAAAGGTAGCATTATCTGCGTAAACGGAAACCCCTTTTAACAAGGGTGAAAGCTTGGTGTAAGCATTTTGTGACTGTAAGCATGACGGAAGTTGTTAAAGCTTTTTAACAGTTTATAAAACTGTGGTGAAACTGCACAGATGGCGTTAGAAAGTTATTTTTTGTGTCTTTTTTATGAAAGATTTTAGTACTGACCACTATTGTAATTTTATATATAATATAAATGTGAAAGTTTCTTTCTTTGGATGTTTGTCCGTCAATCACGCCGAAACTAGAGAACGGTTTTTTTTTTAATTTGTTATACAGATAGGGCATTAGCTGACTTAGATATTAGGATACTGTTTATCCCACTAAAGTTGCTTAGGGACCACGCGAGCGAAGCCGAAAGCTAGTCAGTATAAATTTTAGTATAAATTTAAAGTATAAATTTTGAAAATGAAACTTTTTGCTAGTGTTATTTTTTACAATATGTATTTCATTAATTTGTCACTTGTTTTACATAATTATGGTGGACAAATTGAAGACTGTTTGTGTCTATTCTTGACGTAAAAGCTAATTCAATTTCAGATACATAGCATCTATGAAATATTTGTAATTCATATTTCAGAACATACATATGTATTTTTAGTTTTCCTTAATATTTTTACGATAATACTTGATCGTTCTTTTAAAGTGCAAAGTTAGCAATTTTAGCATTTTCCGCCAGTCACCCATTTTCGAAGATTTATTTCAATATTTTTTTATGAGCGCAGTGGCATAACACCTTTATTTCTTTGTATGTTTTATGTCGCGGTGTACTTTATTATAGATTTAAATTAGAAATTTGCGCTCATAAAAATATATATACAAAATTTTATAGATGCGATAAACTTGAAATTTAAGTAATTTTCGGGGCTAAAAAGCTCCTTATGGACCGCCACCCTTTTGTAGACCGCAAAGAATGTTATTAAGACAAATTATTTACGTTCATAAGTATATTCTGTTTGAATTTAAGTAACTTCAAGACAAACCTGTCCCTTAGGTCATACCTTCATGGAAAACAATAACTAATTATCATTTAACCATCTGAATTATGCAACCTAGATACTTATAACGATAAACTTTTTCATTTGCGTCACAGTCAATTCAATACCTGCGCTTGATAATGAAGTCTTTAGTAACCTTTTTAATATTTTTTCTTGTAAAAACGAATGCGTATGTCGCTAATAGTATTCAATTGGATTTAACTACAGAAACACCCAACGATTTTAATGAAAATAGTGAAGAAAGCACAGTGCATGATAAATATGAAAAAGATTATAGTGGTTACGTTTATATGGACGACGTAGTGTTTGGATTGAAGTTACAAAATTGGACTGACGAAGAGCTACCGTGTCTGAACGAAACCTTACATTTGATTAAGAGCTTGCATAATTTTACAACCTGGGCTGTATGGGGTGAGTATTAATTATTATGGTAGGTAGTGCAGTTTTGAATAATACCATTTATTAACGCATTCTTTGTGTTTTTGATATTCAAACCTTTTTATTTTATACTAACTGTTTTCCCGCAACTTCGCTCGCGTAAATTAAAGCCTTTCGCATTCATAATATTGTCACAAAAGACGATTTTCAGTTTTCTGTTTTATATACTCGTATTTGTGTGTTTACATAAAAGTACTGGCAGACGATGAATATTTTTTCCACTCAAAATCTCTTCCCACAAATGACGTCACGTCCTCCGAAATGCCGTTTACGCAGTTTTTTAAACAAATTAATTTTAAACATAATGAAGTTAATTTACATAAAATATTTTGTTTTGTGGAAAAAGGCGCTCCTAATTATCAATTTAAAATACTTTTTAGAAAGTCCTCCGATCCCCCATTGACTGATAAAGTGAGCCCTGCAAATTTATATCATTATTAATTATGTTAAATGACCAACGTCATTTAACCACTTTCCTTTGATTAAATCCGCGGAGTTATTCAAACCAGATCCATCCCACGTGAGGAAAGTTTCGAGAAAAAATGTTTTTTTTTATGTTGTAAAAAAAGTGTTTCTGATTTTTAATAATATGTATTTAAAGATTGTATTATCTTTGATTTATTTACCAAGAAATTTTACATATATGAATTCAATTATAATTGATGTGGATTGGATTTTTAATAAGAAAATATATTTGAATGAATGGGAATTATATATTGACAAAAGATATTAATATGATTATAAAAATCAATACAATGTGAAATTATAGAGTATAAATATAGTACATTATTTGTATAAATCGAGTGGTATACATAAAGATAAAGTATTGAAAACAATATTACTGTTCATTAAATATTACCTATAATCATATTACAAAATTTGAAAATATGTCAATTAATATTTATAACGAAATTATGATGGAGCTCAGAATGTGCACCCGACTTTAAAAAAGAAGTCAAATGGCTTATTAAATAAAATTCTAAATAAAATAAATAAAAATAATGTGTTTTTGAAGAAGTACAATTAGTGCACAAATCGTAATTTTTTCGTCAAACGGTAACAACATTACAAACTTCCGCATTTATAATATTAAAAATATTAGCTGATTTCACGCCACTTCTTTTATACCATGACACCCGCGTATGATTTTTGCTTCCCGTAGGTAGGTAAAAGAATTTTTAAAATTGGTATAATTAAATCTTTCCTTTTCTCTATTAAGAAAAAGTAATCTATACATATATAAAAGGAGATGTCCTGACATACTGACTGACAGACAACGCACAGCCTAAACCGCTGGTCGTAGAAACTTGAAATTTGGAGGGAACATTCCCCTTAATACGTATAGTTACTTTGGGCCGCATATATTTTTCAAAAACTTTCTCGAGCTGATGATGAAATTACCTTCATGCTTAAGTTCGAGGATGCTACAACAAATATCTTTAATAAAACTTTAGAGATATTAATTCAATCCAATCCAATTTGAAATAAGCCCTTGCAGTAGGGAGTTAAAAGGGCTGATGATGAAATAATATTTTTATTTACAGCGTAACATATATTTTTTTTCAATAAACGACGTATTACATTACATATATATGTCGTTGCCATATTGTAGAATTAATGATTTTATGATCCGGCAGGCCATTTGATCATATCATATAATTTAAGCGTCAACGTTAAATGATATGTCAATTCATGTTTTTGTACAAAAAAGAAATCTAATAAATTAATTACTGATGAAACGAAAAACACAAATAATTGCAATTTCTTTAATCTAAACTTGAAACAACATTTTAATGTTTTGATTTAAATCCTGCGGAAAATGCTTTAATCAAAATAATAGAAAGATTTAGAATATACATAAAATCTGCGATTTAGAATTCATTAAACGCCATCTAGTGTATATATATAATATTAAAAATATTTTTTCTTTCGTAAACAAAATTATTTGAATTTGAACATTTTTATTCATTAAAATTTCAAAAATGTAATATTTCCTCAAATACCAGTTTTCATCGCTATACAATAAAATATTTTGTAAATAATATTAAGTAATTTAATTCAATGACAAATCAGATTGTAAACAATGGTTGCTATGGTAACATTTTGATTCCCCATAAAATCTTTTACTCCCATTTTTATTCCATTAAGTGCTAGTTTTCGGGATAAAATATAACTTATTACCTTCCTATGGTCATAAAGTACCCAAATATCAATTTTCATCTACATATGTCTATAAACAAAGAAGTTTCAAACAAACTTTTTCACCCTTTGTGATGGAACTTCCAAAAATCTAATAAAATTCATCAAAACCAAATGTACCTATTATGTAATTGTGTGATACTTATTTTTAAATAGAATGGGACTCCGTATCTTCCCAACCACTGGGTATATTATCTGGCAACCGATATCAACTGGGGAATTTCGACCAATGCATGACTTACCCATGGAGCACTCCTCATAAAGAAATAAAAACTCAGTACTGCCTCGCAGAAGTAGAGCTAGAAACGAAAACCCACGTGAAGAAGAAAACTTTGGATGAAATAGAACCTTATGGGAACGCATTGGACTTGATACAGGTTTATATAACTCGATTGTAAATTTTTTTGCTAATAATATGAATGACGACTGGGAAAGAAAAAATAAACTCTATTTAGTTCGTCAGTCAGATAAGAGAAAAATATTAGATATGTATTTTTTTTGTTTCAATTTAAACAAGAAATGGCTTAGGCAATATGCATTAGAGTTGAGGAGTGGGGGTTCGCTACGTCACAGTTTTGTAGAAAATGTACTAAAGCGTGACGTCATGCGACATTTTAACTATTATTCTAACTTTTTAACATGATTTTCTCTCCTTACATTTTGGTTCATAGGTCCGACTTTTATTACTGGAATCTTATCCTTACGTTAATATTAATAATATTTCTTTTTATTACCGTTTATATTGGTTACCGTTTTTAGCACAACACTCCTCATTTTCGACCTTTAAGATATTTGACTTGGGGCGCATGTGTGCCGGCTTGTTGTGAGCCAAGATCCGTGGAGAAATTAGTGAAAGTAGTTTTAGCACGTAGCCATCTTGGCTCAGCTGGATTGCGTCTCAGCATCCATGTCAATGAGACCTGCCAAAGACCTGATGAACCAAAGAAGTTCGATGTCGTGTTGTATGCATTTATGTAAGTAATAAATATATACTGTACATTATTGGTTATTTTTTTAGATGGCAAAATCTAATTTTGCGATAATTACCCATATTTAAAGAATTTTAACATTGGTCGTACGAAAAATAAGTGTTGAAACTTTTTCTTTTCTGTGGTTGATGCAATTCTAGCATTAAAGATGAACGTCCATATTGTCCGTACGCCCGTACCGGCCGCATGACATGCAACGGATTTTCCATATATTTATATGAATTTCAATCCGTTCACTATCTGCTAAGGTCCCACTACCGATACGTAATACATAAGCTATGAAAATACTGATGACGTCATACGAATTACTACCATTAAGTTAAGCTATACATCACTTCACAGTTTTATGTCAACATAATTCAGATGTCAAAACTGACGGATTTTTTACAGAAGCACCTATGAAAATTGCGGATACAGACAACGTTTGACATCGCAAAATAATACCGATGTCAAAACTAATAATTGATTTTTTTATAGAAGCATCTATAAAAATGGTGATGCAGTGGATGAGACATCGAAAAATTCGTATAATCCGTTGCGTGTCATGCGTAACGGCCGGTGCGTGAATGTGGAGACAGTCGACGACGAACGAACGTTGCTTTATAAATAGAATTGCTTAGAGCGCCAGCCAAGGACAAAGTGGATTTTTAAGCATTTTTCATTAAAAAGTTTTTAGCATTGTGAAGACAAATTTATGAAATATTAGAAAAAATTTTCATCATTATCAAAAGTTAAAATATTTAAAAGATATTTCTTTGGGCTGTCAGGGTGGATGGCCTGAACATTAATGAAAATACTCTCTGTAGTAGCGAAAAATTAAACATTGCTTGAAATATTCGTCAGTCCTGTTAGGTTCTGGGTAGCTCATTAGTTAGAGCAGTCCCTCAGATTGGGAAATGTCATGGGTCCGAGTTCCATCTCAGAGTGCCACGGACAAAGTGAATGTTTTAAGTATTTTTTCAGTAAGTTTCATAAGGTATTAAATAATATTTTAATTTTACAGTGCGGTAATTGGGACAATATTTGTAATATGTTTAGTATGCACAATCGTTAACAACAAAAGAAACAGGGAAGAGGATAATAGTAAGTATAGTTTAACATTTATCTACACTACATTGAAAAATATACCTTATTATGAACGAATAATTCTTTATTGTACACGACACATTTCTTCCAGGCAACCGTAATTATTAGTACATTTCCGAGATTATAATTTATTTATTGTTAAAACTTTACAACATTATGGCAAAAAAATTAACGCATGTTGCATTTATGAATAAGTCACAAATTACATAAGATGTCAACTATTAATAATAACTCTATAATAGTATTTTTTTTATAATGAAACACCTCAGTAAGGTCATCGTTAAAAGTAATGCATTTTACGTATTGTATTGTTTACAGAAAATAAGATTTGCAATGCATTTTGTCTACTGAAAAATTCTAAAGACCTTCTGAAAATGAATAAGGGTGGCATTGAAGTTATATATGGCATCAAATATCTGACAATTTGTGGCGTCGTGATGTGTCATCAGAGTTCGTTTATCGATGTCGGACCAATTAGTAACGGAATAAAAGTGGACGTGAGTAGATATCTATTTGGATAGAAGTCGTAAGTATTAATTATACAACATGAGTGATCTCATTACAAGCACTTCTGTTTTGAAATGGAATCATAAAACAATAACTACTAATGTCTCGAAATTATTTTTTCAAATGACCGCATGTCCACAGACCTCTGTGACAAATTTATATCGATTATACTCAGAGGGATAGAATAAGGGGCAGGTATCCTTATGGATGGTTAAGGAGGATGTGCCATAACCCTCCACGCTTTCCCAATACGAATTAGAGGATATTAAAAATTGCAAATGCAGCTGGAGTCAACAGCTTAACGTGCCTTCTGAATCACAGAGTAGCTCGAGATAATATTTTTTTGATCCCCATCCCGTGACCAACCATTGCGAAGGTTGAAGTTTTTAGAATAACTTCTCTAAAGCTGTGGTATGCGAATCTCTGGCGTTCTATAATTATCTTGATAATCATAAAGCTCACCATCCACTGTGTCTGCCGACAAGTAACTGATTTTCCATATTTTTGTATGGATTTGTATAGTATTCCGTCCTCTATACGTACCGGTCCACTAACCGTATGCATAATATTAGGCCCTTACATATGAAATTGTTGTTTGGTATGGGAGGAACAAAAAGTCGATTTTTTATATTATTTATTTATTTAATCAAAGTATAAACCATTGTTATCTATGCACTTTTGCCATCTGCTGAATCTGCATCGGAGTTGAATTTTTTCCCGTGCCAGAAATTATCTAAATTTCGAAAAAAATGGTAATCTGTTGGAACAAGGTCCGGGGAGTACGGTGAATGTCTTAGACATTCCAATTGAAGTTCTTCTAATTTGGTGGCCGTCTGTTGTGCAGTGTGTGGTCTAGCGATGTCGTGAAGTAGCAGTGGCGTGGAGCGATTGATCAGCCTCGCTTGTTTAACAGCTAGTTTTTCCAGCATGGTTTGCAATTGCTGACAATAGACGTCTGCCGTAAACATCTGGTCAGATTTGAGAAAACTGTAATGAACGACAACGGCACTATTCCACCAAACGCTTACAAGTAACTTTTTTGGGGTCAATTTTCGTTTGGGGCAGAATTTGGCTGGCATGCCAGGGTCCAACCATTGAGATGAGTGCTTCCGATTATCGCAGAGAATCGACTTTTCATCACAAGTTATGATTCGATTTAAAAACCCTTCATTATTGTGCCGGTTAAGTAAAGTAACGCAGCAGTTGAAGTGCGTTTGCCGGTTTGCTTCACTCAATTCGTTAGGTTTCCAAGCTTTTTAATCTTTCAAATTTGCTTCAAGTGGATTAAAACAGTTTTATCAGTAACACCGCAGCCTGCAGCTGACTCGGACGTGATTTGCGATCGATCTGCTTTCACAATAGCCTTTAATTCTTTATTATTAACTTAGGTCTCCGGCCGTCCACGGGGCTTATCCTGCAGGTCGAAATTTCGTTGGAAAAAACGTTAGAACCAAACGCACTGTATTTTCTTTTGCGACACACCCGACGGTGGAACTCGTACTCGTAAATAACACGATATTTCAAGATTTCCATTTTTTATACTGAAATACATAAATAGGACAAACAGAAGAAAAAAAAAATCAAATGAATGAAACCTTCTTATTCTTCTAAAGGTGCCTCTCCAACTAGTGAAGGTTAGCGATTAGCATGTTCAGGTCCTTCTTGTCTTTAGCTCGGCGGAACAGCTCAGAAACGCTCGCTATCCCGGTCCACTCTCAGATGTTCCGCAACCACGACTTCTTCCTTCCTCCGACCTTTCTCTTTCCCGCAACTTTGCCCATCATGATCAGCTGCAGGAGATCATATCTCTAATGAATGAAACCTAACGAAACACAAATACATGTGTAAATGGCTGTATTAATTTGAATTTGGAATTCCCAACCAAGGAGGAGAAATTTGTGATTAAAGTGGCCAGTACGATAAAACGCCAATTTCATATGTAAGGACCTAATATATTATGTGCAAAGAATATTCCGATGATGTCAAATGGATTACTACTATATGGAATTACTACTATACATTACTTCAAAGCGTTATGTCAAAATTGTCTAACGGTAGTGGTATTAAAAATCCGGACGCAATGGATAATCCTTGTGGCCGTTGCGAACGTGTGGACACAGTGGACGCTTACCCTAAATCGAAACGTCACGATTTAATTTGTTTTGACTGACGACAGAGAGCACCAGTGTTCTAAATCATTTTATTTATATATTGCTGAACAATTTCCATTGTAAATTATTACTAAATTCAAAATTTTAGGAAGCTCAGAGAGTACTCGGTTGGCTAGTTCTACATGACGATCTATTAGTGGATACATTTTTCCTAATATCAGCATTTTTGACGGCTAAAGCACTTTTCGAGTTTAGAACATTACCTTCTATACCTTTGATGATATTCAGGAGATACATACGGTAATAATTTTATTTTTAACTAAAGAATCAAAAAAAGACATTATAAATAGAAAAGATTTGATTGTTTGTTTGCATCGATGGGCCCGGAAACTACTGGACTGATTTTAATAACTATTTCACCCATTGGAAAATACATGATCCGCGGGTGAAGTCGCGCAAAACAGCTAGGTATGAATGAATGTGTTTAAGTTGCAATATGATTTATTTAAGTCGATGCTATTTATTTTTAGTTTGGTGATTGGTTTAGCAGTGGTAGTATTCTTCATGGCAGCTGCCTTTGATCACACAGGCTCTGGACCTCTTTGGAACAGATTCAGCGATGATGAAGTAGCTGCCTGTCGTGATAACTGGTGGCTTAATTTACTGATGCTGAGTAACTATATCAAATCCGGTCACATGGTATGATTCCTAATATTATACTTCATCTTCATCATCATCACCACTGCTAGTGCTTAAGCCTGCCCTTGGATGAAATCTGATCAAATTGAATAGAGAGATGTTATACTTAACTACACAGGTTTCCCTGATATTCTTATTTTTTATAATTTTTCCGTTATAATACCTTACCTACCGTAAAACTAATACTTAGATTGGTATTAGTTTTATAGGTGGTTAGAACTCAACAAAAAATCAAAACGAAATTCCATAATCATCTTTCCTACTTCCAAAATAATTTATTTTTTAAGAGTAAGTAATTTTGTTTGAATTTATCGCATACTTTTATTTGTATAAATTTCAGTGCCTGGTTATGACATGGTACATTCCCTGCGATTTCCACTTCTTCGTGATAACTGTGATTGTTTTCGCACTTTACAAGCGATGCCCGACACTCGGTATGATTATTGCATGTGTTCTGGCTGCTGCCTCTATTATTATACCAGGAGTTATCAACTACATCAATAAACTTCACGCCATACAACTTTTCACATATGAGTAAGTCGTCACGTATTTATATGTTGAAAGTAAAATATATCTATCGATCTCTATAGAACCCTGTATCATTTACACAAGAAGTGTCTATTAGTGTTCGGAATAGGGTCAGTGACTTATGAATATGCTATAGACAGCGATACATATCGTTCACTTTCAACTCTTACGTATTACTCTGGGTCCTTGTTCATTTTTACGCCTGCACTAAGAACATACTTTAGCTAGATATGTTAAGGCATAGATACACATAATGGAAAGCTTTTGAGTTGCGACTTAAATAACGCCAGCAATTTAAATGGTTCATGATCTATATTGCAAAGATTAAACAAACAATAAAATATACACCATTAAAACGTTTTGTCAAATCCATTTAAAAGGACAGAGTTTCGAAAATCTAGGTTACTTAAAACATCAGTAATTGATGAAATATAATCATCGGAAAAAAGTTTTTTAATTATTGTTAATTATACAATATTAAAATCTTTAGAATATGCATAGCAGACCAAACAAATATTTACTGAAAACTTTATACCCGCCATTTTGGCCAGAGATAATTTTGAATCTTAATCCTGGAAGCCTAATCTACGTCTGCACAGCGTACACGAAATTCAATATTTATTCATTTTTTCTAGCGATCAAAATTGACTTATCGATTTATAAATATAATACCAACATAAATATTGGCAAGATCTTGCTGATAGTACCAGAAACACTAAAATAAGTCTAGCCATTTTTGATTTATGGAGGTAATTACTAAAAGGCCTGCGAGACCTTAACCATCAATATATAATTAAATTGGTATTGATAATAATTAGCTATGAAAAGTTTACTCTATAATGTTATTTTAAGTCATAATGATTTAATTGTATGAAGTAAGTAGTTAGAAATAAATAGAAAATATTTTGATTTATTCTGAAAAAGGATTCAGAAAAAGGATTCATATTCATCCAGACTACGAATTGCCTATATACTGAATTTTATAAAGTAGTCGTTTTTGCGTGAAGAGTTACAAACTTGCCTTTATAATATTAGTAAGATAAATTAATACTTCTATTTTACATATTTTTTCAAAATTCAGACTTTAGTAGTATATAGTCAAAGTCAAAGTCAAAATAATCTTTATTCAAATAGACTTCTTAAAAGTACTTTTGAATCGTCCAACATTTTTTCCCTACCACTCGTTCAGGACGTCTTTTGGCTGATAAGAAGAAAGAGCAAGAAACTCACCAGCTCTAATATGAGTAATGACATTTACAAAAACCATGTCATTACCAGATCAATACATTATAAACAGAGATAAAAAAAACTATGGTCTTATAATAATAACATAATCATTTAATAATAATGGAAACAAGATAATGAGTTTAGAAGTAATCACCTATCCAGTTGCTGGATCATCTCAAGTCCAAGCGTTCTTATCTGTTACATAATCGGATACCTTATAATAAGCTTTTTTAATAAGTATTTTTTTAATAGTAGATTTAAACTGCAAGATATCTAATTGTTGTATTTTGCTTGGGACCTTATTGTAGAAGCGCACACAAAGACCCTTGAAAGAGTTATTAACTTTTTGCAGTCTAGTGACAGGCACCGTTAATTTATTTTTATTTCTTGTATTAAAATTGTGTACATCACTTTTAATAGAAAACAAACTAATATTTTTACGAACGTACATTAAGTTCTCGTATATGTATTGAGAAGCAACAGTCATAATGTCTATTTCCTTAAATTTCTCCCTTAAAGAGTCCCTAATCCTAAGATCTGTTAGGGCTTCTAGGGTTAAACGCAATTAAAGTTATTTTGAGTATAAAGAACTAACCATCAAAATACTTTAAAGTTTGCTTAAATTTTTTTAAGGTTCCAAGTAATAATATTAAACTCACTTAAACGTTTCATGCACCGTTGCCATATTATTTCTTTGTTTCAAGTGCGCTTTTAAATATATATTGGTTTGTGTTTAATTTTGTGTGACATATATACTTATGCTGATTTTTAAATTTTAACTGTGTTTCTTTTTTTCCAGTTTCTTGTCAAACCCTCGTGGCAATCGGCAATTTAATATCATGTATATAAAGAGTCACACCAGGGCGGCGGCTTATATAGTTGGATTATTCGCAGGTTATCTATTCGTCAAGTATAAATTAAAGGAAACTGTAAAATTTTCTCAGGTAATAAACACTAATGGTACAAGTAAAAATGATTTATGTAAAAGATGATTTTTATTTGCTAAATAAACCCTTTATCCTTTAAACCGGAAATTTTTGATTATTTGTTTTTAATAAGATTTGAAACTACTGGAGCGATTTAAAAATACCTTCATCAAAGCTCATATATAATTTACGCCGGCGAAGTCGTTGAAAACATCTAATTTTCATTTTATATCTCTTGAAAGCATATAAATATATAGAATTTTGACACAAAGAAAAGAAATATGTATCTACTTAAATACATAAATATACAATAACAAAAAAAGAAAAATGTTTGACAAATATACTTATACCTGTAACAAGAAGCTAAAAATGAATTAACTTCTCAAACTAGACAGAGATTATAAATGTTTAGTTCACTAATAATTATATTCCTTAAAAATACTCTTTGAAATTCAAAAATATACTTTGTTTAAGTTATAAAAAAAATATTTACCAATAGGAGGTTCTAATCCAACATTCTTTTACAGAAAAAATCTTTGATGTACATTTGTGCAGCTCTGACAGTGATGGTATTTATAACTTTCCTTGGAGTGTCCTATCAGCTCAGGGGCTACTCCGAGCTTGAAGGCAACCTGTACGCAGCCTTGAACAGACCCATCTGGGCAGCTGGAGTTGTACTAATCATATTAACTTGCGCTTTTGGAAAAGTCCGTGAGTTTTTTAAATCTTGGTAACCACCAACATGATCAGATATAGAGAGGACTATAATATAAAGCTCATTAACATCCACATGTGGCGTGCGGGTGATTTTTTTTGTGGCTCGTTTACATTTGTCGGTCATTGTTTTATTGAGCAATGAGATGAGCACCTAGATATCGCCCGCACTCCGCATGCGGACCCCGTCGTCAACCATCGTAACTGAGCAATTTCTATTTTTTGTGTATTTGATGTTCGCGTTACAAAACTTAAACAGAAACCATTGATTAATAATTTTATTATCATTGCACTTCATTACTAGTCTGTCGTGGAGTCCAGTTAAAATATACCAAATACTCAGCTTTATTATTTGTAAGCCTTTATTATTTTTTGAATTAGGTTTCGATTATATTGAATCTCTAATGTTTCGACAGCGCGGTGCTCGACGGTGTGTTTGAAGACAATAGAATTGCAGCAGGGTGATTCCGTAGGAATCCGAACCCGAATTCGAATTCACTATTGCGTCCGATCCAAGTGATTTAGTGAAGAAATAGTAATGATTCCATTTTTTGTATAAAATTTACAAAACAAAATTGATTGAATGTACACGTCTCAGATATTCTATTACTATATCATTTTGAAATTTACTTCATTTATGCCACGAAACTTTATTACCAAATCAAGATTGAGCTGATGCCACATTTTGAAGTGAATTCGAATTCGGGTTTGGAATTTTACAGAATCGAAGGGCTGATTTGTAGTTTGGAGTTACGTTAAATTTACTTATACGAAATACAATATATGCATATATGTTCTTTAAAGATATTGCTCGGAATACAACTGTGAATTCAATACTGATCAAATATAGAAATTCATTATTTTTATCTTTTACGATAATGTTGAACCAGTTTATTGTTTTCTTTTATTTATAGCGTTGGTGAGTGGTTTCCTGAAGTGGTACCCATGGGTACCCCTCAGCAGGTTGGTATACGGCGTATATCTCGTCCACTTTATCATCATCATCAGGAATATTGGAATATCGAGGAACCCTGAATTCTACGACCATTTCAGTGTTGTGAGTTTTTCCAAATTAGTTTTCAAATTAACGATACCTAAAATAGAGTATTCGGATCACTTTATATCTTTTTAAGTGGCTTTTACTCTATTTATTATTATGTCACCTACGTATGATGTGATTTCCCGAAGACGATAGAGTTTTAAAATGGTTCCAGTAGTTTCGGAGACTATTCAATGCAGACAAACCAATAAATAATTAAACCCTTCCTTTTCATAATATGAATATAGACGAGAGTGATTATATCAGCCAGCTCCTTTCCGCGTGTAAGTTTTTTTGACGTTTACGTTCACTGTCGATCGTAAGCACAGGTACAGCGCAACTAGCGGTAACTACCAAGAACTACAAATCTCTATACAAATTCTTAACGCGCTCACTAGTGAACGCGTTAGCGTAAAACTTACACTAACCACTCAGATGTAACTGACGCTCTAGCCAACACACACACTTTACCCAATCATAATACGGTTATACGGTTGTTTATCGCTCTTACTGTATCCACCCAAATGATCGAACTATGATTGTCTGAATATTTTCTGGACTGCCCGCTTTCCATTACATTCGCAGCATTCATAAAAAGGCGTTTTTCTACCGTCGAACATACCAATTGACTCGTGATTTGTCGTTGACGCGATTAAAAAGACAACAATACCGTCTAGTCACGTATACGTGAAATAAGCTGGCGGGTAGTTGACTAAATGACAGCACCCTTGGTCTGTGACAATAAATATATAATAAAGTATTCATTTGTGTCACAATACCTAAGCTAAGATTCTTCCCCTACCCTAAAAAAATCCGTTATTTTACAAAATTTCTAAACTATATTATTATAAGTCGCAATAATAAAAATTTCAAATGCTGTTTCAAAATAAAATAGATGAAATAACGAGTTAATTTTACTGCATTATAAAATATGAGGCGTAAAGTTTTATCGAAATTAATAATTTAACTTATTAGAAAAATTTCAGATGGGATCTTTTTTTAAGAGATCCACGCTTTAGTCAGCAATGCTAAATAAGAAACCTTTAACCAATTATGCGGTAAAATGATTGCGTGGAGTTAAATAATATTTTGCTGGCCTTCACCCTAATGTTATGTTAAGTTATACTATTTAATTACTCTTTGATAGTTGCAAGATATAGAGTTAAATTAAATATTATTTCTAATACTATTTTTCATCCTCTTGCTTCGTTGAGAACAGTAAACCTGACAGTTACTGTTTGCATATAACAAGCATATATATTATTTTTGTTATGAACAAAACAAATAATTTCTAGATTAAAAATAAATAGTAATTAAGTATATTTAAGGACACGTTGCGTAAATCTGACTCGTTCATTACTAGTTTTTATATTAAAATAAAACTGATAAATGGGCGTATCGCTTTATCGGTGGCTAAGGTAGTGGCCACCAAGAATGTCAAACAAAGCGAAAGGGTACGTTCATTTAAGGCGCTTCATTATTTTTTTTAACTTTCTTTATTTAGGTTTCGATTATATCAGAAATTCAGTATTAAATTGGAATGGGAAATCATAATGTATTAGGATTAGGATAAGGTAAGGCTATGAAAAAAGCACTTATTGCAAGAAATAGACCTACAATCAAAAGGTTCAAAAGCAAAAAAAAAGAAATCACTAAAAACATTTTTATGTAAAATCGCTAAGATGACACCATATGGTTTATATTGTCAATTTTTTTTCTTATATAGAGCCAAGCTTTTCACTTTACAAGCTTTTAAAAACTCTATACCTTAGTCAATACATATGGTGACGTCTTGGCAACATTTTATGAAAAAAAAATTCGAATGTTTTTGACATAATGACGACCACAATAAGGTTTGCGAGTTATTAATTAGAAGTTATTTTAGCATTTCCTTATTTTGCACATTAAAGTGCTACAGGTTACTTGTTATATTTGTTTTTGTACTTGTGCCTTTTTATTGTTTTTTATTTGTCCTAGCACAGTTATAAATTTTTATATGTATACTTAACAATTTTAAACAGAGGAAAGACTTTATTGTTTACTAGGCTAGGCTTAAATAGGCTCCGTAACAACTGAACCTTTTTTAGAATTCTTTCACCTACGGGAAACTACATCATACACTAAATTTTATCCCGAAGAACAGAAAATAAAGGGATGAAAATGGGAGTGGAAGTTTGTGTAGGAAATTAAAAAATTACCATAGTAACCATTGTTTACTATTCAATTTGTCATTGTAATTATCATGTCAGGATATAAAATGATATCCAAATAAGCCGCTGGAAGGAAGCTGTGTGAAAATGTAACTTGTGTATGTATTTACTATTAAAACAACATCACATACATTGCTCAGATTCCAAGATAAGTAGCTCAAGCCCCCGTAATATGGAGTATATGAGACAATGAAGGTACTACAACAGCCAGACCCAAGACAATATAGAAAAGTTGATTTCCTACATTGAACCGACCGTTAATCGAAACCCGGGATCTCAGAAAGTCCTTGAAACCGGCGTGCGAACTTGTCACGCGGCTACGGAGGTTTTACATAAATAATTCTAATTTATTATTTCCTTTACATTTTCAGTTGCTGACGTCACTAGGCGTAATATGTATAAGCACCTTCTTCGCCTTGATCCTGTGGCTTTTCTTTGAGGCACCAGCCAATAATCTGATCGTGTTGTTATTCAATAGACGGTAAGTTTTTCAATTTCGCCAAATCATGGGTTGTTGTTGTTGCTGTTCCGAGTTGCGGATTATCTAGGGTTTATGCAGCCCATTATCACTGCGACCACTGCTGATCTATTGTGATCTCTACATACTATAGTTCACGGTCAAGATTACATTCTGTAAGAAAATGTTCTATTTTCTTGGCCACGATCATGGGTTACATGAATTACTACAAAAAAATCGGTCACACTTGACTGTGGCTAAGTAGAAATCGCAGCGTAGTGAACTGGTTAAAAATGCCGTTCAATTAGACAGCTAGACCAAAAAAAATAGGGGATCAGGATAACGTAGTAGTTATTAAAAGACTCATGCTAATGATGGCCAGTACTTGTGAAAGGAAGAACCGTCAGGAAAATAAGTTAGGACTTCTTTTCTCTTTATTTAATACTAAATGTTTTTCCGCCACTTCGCACGCATAAATAGTAGCCTATGTCAACCTCGTATGATGAAAGAATTTTTAAAATCGATCCAGTTGTTTCGGACCCTATTTGATGCAAACAAACACAAACAAATAGTCAAATCTTTCCTCTATATAATATAACTATAGAAGTACATACAATATAATTTTCCTGAGCTGTAAAATATATTAAATATAATTTACTCCGGATCACGAAAGGTTTTTGATTCGACTCCCCTTTGGGCTATGTCGACTGGAGAATTTTTATGTAAACTGCAGATATTTTATAGAACGAAAAAACATTACGACTTTGTTGTGATAACAAAAACTGTTTTATTAATAAATCTGAAAGATGGAAATTATTTTAAAAGAGAACTAAAGTAGTTGTTTAAAACATTGGCCGACTTAAACGCCTGAAACAATTGATAATGACGCAAGTGAATACATTGAGACGTGTTGATTTATTTTGTTATTATCCGGTTTAAACCTGTTACTAAAATTAGCCCTCCATTTATAATTAGACGAAAGATGTTTACAATTTTACGATGACGAAATGGAACGTCATGTTTTTATTCGATTTGACGGTTAATATATGACGTCACTGTTTTATTAAACTATGTAGTATTTTATCTAAAAAATGATAATAATATGTCTTGTTGAGTAGCTCGGTGGCGTAGTGAATAAGCGCCGCGTCCCGCGATCGTTGTCGTTAAGCATCTTTCGCAAGGGTCGGTCAGGGGATGGATGACCGAAAAATTATTATCTCGGGCTACTCCGTGCTTCGGAAGGCACGTTAAGCCCTTGGTCCCGGCTGCATTTGTAGTCGTTAATACCCTTCAATCTGCTTTGGGACAGCGTGGAGGGTTATGGCCCATTCTCCTTGACCATCCATAAGGAAGGCCTGAGCCCTGCAGTGGGGACGTAAAAGGGCTGATGATGATGATGATGATGTCTTGTTTTCAGATCTACTCAAAATACACGAGAGAATATTAGTGAAGTATCTGACGCAACATTTTGTAAAAGAAAAGGAATGAACAACAGCGGTTATATAGAAGATAATATGTCAAATACAATACAATTTTCTAAGATGTAAGCCCATAAGGAATTTTTATTTTTTTATTTCAGGCGACCAGAGTAAAAAATTGTTGACAATTGCACTATTAACAATTATTTCCTGTGTGTTACAAAATAATATACTTTCTTTTTCAAGCTAACTTTTATTCTAATCGTTTAAACTGAATGACAAATTTTGTCTTTTTTCCTATTAAATAGGGGGTATACTCAAAATGCATTTGAGGTGGACAATTACTTTGTATATGCTCGTACATACAAAAGTACTTTACGCTTTTGTAATTGATGAAACATATTAATTTAAGAAACATAAACTATAACTATGGTTATATAATAACAACAATAATTAAAAAAGTCATAACTTTTTTAATTATGGGAATAATTGTTTGATTAAATAAAGTACCTACAGGGTATACATAATAGCCAATAACTAGTTCACACAACATTGATTAAAATTATATTGAGAAATTTGAAAATACCTACTTTCATATAAATAAAGAAAGAGCAAAAAAATAATAAAACAATAATTATTAACAAAAACATTGTGGGCTTCAAGCATCAAGAGCATAAGTAATATCCTTACTTTACAGACACAAAATGAAAATATTAAATGTCCGTCGGTCACATGTCGAAGTGTTTTTGCTACCTTAATTGTTTCTTCTATAAGTAAATTTAAGCCACCGTATATCTGTATTCATGTACTACTGTCCATCCAAATAGTGTCTGGAAGAAATTGCTTTAAGCAATAAGGCCACCCCTGTACTACCTTATTTACGATTATTCCGACATAATTTTATCAACAAT